GGCTATGCTATTCTCCTGCCTCTTGAACTCTAGCCACCATCCAAAGGATGTAAGGTGGGGTCCCATTCTCTCAAGGTCTTGTTCTCAGCTAGTTGTCAGCTCTGTGTATGGAAGTATATCTGATCTGAATGAACACTTCCTGAGGTATTTACATTTTAATAGTTAAATGTGTAGAAATCTGAAAAGCCCTTTAAGACCCTGAAATTAAGTTATAATGATAGAATGAATTTATACCACTACTATTGTTGTTGTTCAGTCCTGTCCAACTCTTCATGACCCCATGGACCACAGCACACCAGGCCCTTCTATCCTCCACTATCTCTGTCTTTCTGTCCAAGTTTGTTGTTTCTATGACACTGCCTATTCATCTCATCCTCTGCCATCCCCTTTTCCTTTTGCTTTCAATCTTTCCTAGCTTTAGGGTCTTTTCTAGTAAGTCTCATCTTTTCATTTATGTGGCCAAAATATTTCATTTTCAACTTCAGTATTTGACCTTCCAGTGAATAGCCTGAATTGATTTCTTTAACTATGACTGATTTTATCACCTTGCTCTTCAAGGGACTCTGAAAAAGTCTCCTCTAGCACCACAGTTAAAAACATTGATTCTGTAGCACTCAGCTTTCCTTATAGTCCAGCTCTCCCAGCCATACATTGCTACTGGAAAAACCATAGCTTTGACTATGTGGACCTTTGTTGGCAAGGTTATGTCTCAGCTTTTTTTTTTTTAGTATGCTGTCCAGTGTTGCCATAACTTTCCTTCCAAAGAGCAAGCATTTTTTAATTTAATAAGTACAGTTGCCGTCTGCAGTGATCTTTGAGCCCAAGAATATAAAATCTGACACTGCTTCCATTTCTGCTCCCTCTCTTTGCCAGGATGTGATGGGACCTGTTGCCAAGATCTTCATTTTTTTAATGTTAAGCTTGAACTTGTTTGTATTTTCTTCTTTTACCCTCATCAAGAGGCTTCTGAATCCCTCTTTACTTTCTGCCATCAGAGCGGTATTATCTACATATCTGAGATTGTTGATATTTTTCTGGGCAACCTTCACTCCAGTCTTTGAATCATCCAGCCTGGCATTTCACATGATGTACTCTGCATATAAATTAAATAAATAAGGTGACAATTTTAATAGTTAAATGTGTGGAAATCTGAAAAGCCTTCAAGATCCTGGAATTAAGCTATAATGATAGAATGAACTGATATTTCTGGCCAAGGTCTTCTTAATATATTATTGTCCTTTGACCCATCTATACCATTAGTATACTATATCTCAAAGAGATCAAACAATGAAAAAAAGGTCTTACATGTACAAAAATATTTGTAGCTGCTCTTTTTGTAGTGGCAAAGAATTGGAAACTGAGAGTGCATCCATCAATTGGTGACTGATTGAACAAGTTATGGTAAATGAATGTAATAGAATACTATTGTGCTGTAAGAAATGATGAAGGGGATGGCTTCAGAGAAACCTGGGAAGACTTGTTTGAACTGATGAAAAGTGATGCAAGCGGTGAAGTAAGAACAACTTATACATTGATAAGGGTGTAAAAATAAACAATTTGGGGGGCAGCTAGGTGGCGCAGTGGATAGAACACCAGCCCTGAAGTCAGGAGGACCTGAGTTCAAATACAGCCTCAGACCAAAACTTGACACTTACTAGCTGTGTGACCCTGGGCAAGTCACTTAACCCCAACTGCCTAAAAATAAAAAAAAAATAAATAAATAAAATAAAAAATTCGGACTTGAGAAATTTGATCAACACAATGACCAACCATGATTGCAGAAGACTGATGAATAATGCTGCCCATCTCCTGACAGAGAAGTGATAAATATGAAGAGCCAAGACATACCTTTTTGGACATGACCAGTATGGGAATTTATTTTGCTTGACAATGCTGGTCCTTCTCAATTTTAATGCTTTCCCTCTGTTGATTATCTCCAGTTTATCCTATATAGATATTAGTCGTGCATGGTTGTTGGCATGTTATCTCCCCAGTTGAAGTGAGCCCCATGGAGCTGGGGACTGTCTTTTACCTTTCTTTATATCTCTAGCATGTAGCTCAGTGCCTGACATATAATAGGTGCTTAATAAATGCTTTTTGAATGAATGACTGTGCATATTTATTACAAGGGTCTTGTTTTTCTTTTCTTTCTTTTTCTAGTGGGATCAGAGAAAATTAGGAGGGAGAAAAAAATAAATGCTTAATAATTTTTAAAAATTTTAATTAAAAAGAATTATAATTCCTATTTCTGAAGCACTTTAAAGTTTACAAAGTCCTTTCCTCACAACACCAGGTAATGGTAATATTATTCTCATTTTTCATATGAGAATGTGTGGATTACCCAAGCAAGATCATGTAGCTAGAGCTGGGACTCACCAGGTTCCTAGGTCACATGCTCTTTCCCTGCCTTACTTTTATTTTTTTGTTTTTTTCCTAGGGACCTCCCTTCCTTAGATATCCCTCTAAGTATGGACCACCCAAAGATCAACATCTCAAAACAATCACCCTCTTCCTGATTCAGATCACACCTCGTAGTTCATTTATTCATTCAACAAACATTTGCAGTGTGCCTTTTATGTGTAAGGCCTTGTGTTAGAGACTGTGTGAAGGATACTCCCCTCCTCCCTCAGAAAGAAAGAAAGAAAGAAAGAAAGAAAGAAAGAAAAAGAAAGAAAGAAAGAAAACATCAACTTGCTCTCCAGGAGCTCCCTCTATCAGTAAGGAAGGAAGGAGAGCCCTGGTAATGAATGAGCGAGGTCTAGAGTAGCATACCAGGGCTAACATAATTTCCTCACTGATTTACCTAGCTCATTAAAATAAGACAAGTTAGAAGTATACTCAGCGGCTGGCCCCATCCTTTCATCTTCAAAGCCCTTCCTAAACTCAAACCAAATTAATCCTTACAACACCTCCTGGTTCCATAGGCAAATATTTATCTTCATTCATATCCAGACAAACTGAGACACACACAGGCTGAAATGAATGTCTCAGGGTCAGGGAAATGGAGTGTCCGAAAATTCTGGCTCTCCAGATGCCCCTGGAAGTGTCAGCTAACTAAGTCTTCAGGGAGCAGAGGCATTCTTCCTGTAGGCTTGCAGGAATCTGAGCTAAAAGGGAATTTAGAGATCACTCATTCTCACCCTTTCCTCCCCCCCCCCCCAGACATTTTTATAGAGGAGGATAAACTACAGTTCAGTGAAGGAAAGGAAATTCAATTCAATACAGTGGAAAGAGTATACTGGCTGAGGATTCAGGGGATCTGAGTTTGGTTCTAGCTCTACTGCCATGTTCCTGTCACTGGGATCCCATATAAGTCACTGGGGTTACAAAGATAAAAATCAGATGGTACCTAACCTCAAGGAGCTTTCATTGTCCTGTGATCGAGAGCGGAGGGTTGGGAAATGTGCCACTGCCCAGTATTGGAGTGTCATGGGGACCATTCTGACCATGGTGAACACTGAGAGCCCTAGCATCCGGTTGAGTTTGGCCTCTACAACTCTCTCAAGCAGTTCTACCCCATGGGATCTGAGCATGAAGGCATTGGGAGCTGTCTCCTGGCAGGCCGCACCACAAGGGCATTGGCAGTGGGCAGAGTCCAACCCACAGATGCGGTGATGGTACATTTCCAGGACCAGGCTTGTGCGGGTGGCAGCCAGAGGCAGCAGGGCACAGTGGATGCCTCTAAGACGGTTACCCTAGAGGAGGGGCTTCAGGGCCTATGGAAAGGAGCTTCATCCAGTGTCTCCCACAATGCTATTGTCAGCTGTGCTGAGTAGGTAACCTACGCTGTCATCAAAGATGCCCCCCTGAAGGTCCACCTCCTGACTGGTGACCTTCCATGCCACTTCACATCAGCCTTTGGGGCTGGCTTCTGCACCACCATTATTGCCTCCCCCATGGATGAGATATGTGTGCCCTCACTATGCTTTGGAAGGAGGGACCCCAAGCCTTCTACAAAGGGTTCATGTCTTTTTTCCACTTGGGCTACTGGAATGTAGTGATGTCTGTCATCCACAAGCAACTGAAATAGGCTCTGATGGACATTCCTGCTTCCTAGGAAGCTCTTTCCTGAGCCCTCTCCTGCTAGCTTTCCACCTTATACCCCATCCTGCCCCTCCTTCCTCCCACTTTTCCCCTATTCCTCTCCTCCCCTGCCTCACCACTAAAGAACCCCCTGCCCCTTCTAGAGTTCGCTCCACTTAATGCTTCTCCAGCCCCATTCCTCTACCATTGCAGCCTCACTCAATTCTCAAACTCCTTGCTTCTAACAAAGCCAGACTAGGATCCAGAAAAAAAAAAATCCCCACTCCTGACACTCCCCACCTGTGTGACTTTGGGAAAGTCAAAATTGGGGAAAAACTGAGTCTTTATCGCCTCATCTGTAAAATGGTCTATGAGGAGGGGGGAACCTGCGGCCTTGAGGCCACATGTGGCCCTCTCGATCCTCAAGTGTGGCCCTTTGACTGAATCTAACTTGGATTCAGTCAAAGGGCCGCACTTGAGGACCTAGAAGGCCACAGGTTCCTTACCCCTGGACTCTAGTTAGCTTCTGAGGTCCCTTTTAGCTCTACAGCTATGTTCCTGTGATCCCCTACAGGTCACTGGGAATACAAAAATAAAAATCAGATAGCCCCTCACCACAAGGAGCTTCCATTATCCTATGATGGAGAGAGGAGGGTTGGGAATATGCACAGAAGCTAGGGAGTGATGAAGGCAAAACAGAGAATTGGACAAAGTTTTCCGAGAAAATTGGAAGAGGAGGGAATGCTCTGGGCTGTGGGGGAAGGCAAAGGAAAGGTTCCCTGGGTAGGCCTGGGCCAAGGTCACACATAGGTAACAAGGAGCAGAGCCCTGGCTTAGGTCTTCCTTCAGATTCCAAAGGGCCCCCCCCTCCCCCACCCCTTTCCATTACACGGCCCTATCCTCTCTCCTCTTTTATGAAAGCAAGGCCTTTTGGAAGTTCAGAAGAATTAGATTTCTTTAATAGCAACCTGCAGGAAATACATTAAAAACACATTCTATCAGTTACAAATCTTAATGTCACCAGTCAAGGATGAGGGAATTAAAGTCAGGGCCCAAAATACATATAGTCAGCAACTCTGGGGCAAGGGCAGAAAGGATTTATAGAGTGCGAGGTCTGGACGTCTGGAACTAGGCGTGCTGAGCTCTGGGCTGAAATGGAAACAGGGCTGGTTTCAGGCTAGGGCGGGGGGAGGTCATCCACATCGATTCAATCATTGTTTCCCATTTATTCTCAATGTAAATAATTTTTGAAATGTTCCTAAGGCAGGGTTCTGGTTTGTAGCATGGAGACTGAATTCATTAAGGTGAGCTGCTGTCGGGGGCATTTTGAAAAAATCCACACAAAGAAAAGCAAGATCTTTAAAAAACAAGTTCCCTCCCTAACCTCAGTCCCCTCTGCCCCAGCCCCCAGACCAATCCATTAAACCCTGAACACATCTCTAAGCAGAACGCTGGGTAAGTTGCCCAGAGCAACAAAGTCTTTGCCCAGGGCACCAATATCAGGGGGCAACTTCCAGCCTGTGGTGGCCACTGCTTTTGAGCCCTCCCAAAGGGGAGGCTTTGTTCCTTCTCTCAAATTTTCCCTCTCGTTGACTTGTTACTCTTTTCTCTGGCCCCACTCTGTTTGGGACAGATCATTTCGTCTCCTAGCCCAAACCCCCCTACATTGCTGTCTTCCGTGATACCACCTCCTTCCCTACCCACCTCCAACTGATATGCCCCAGGGGCAAAAATTTCTGGTCATGGCTTTGATCTCCCGTCTGTACAGGGAAAATAAAGGTGAGGCCCGATCGATGGTTCACCGGGGAATCTGCAGAGAATGGACAATCTGGATAATTAAAATGTTTTCCCCCATTTTGTCAAATCTGGAGTTTATTCGGTCTACCAAAAGTCAAACTTCAAACAGAATGGGGAGGGGGGGGTGTCTAATTTTCCCCCTACCATAGGTAAATTGCTCAGGGAAGTCCAGGGCACATACAATCATCAGCTTTGTTCACAGGTGCTCTCAGACGAGTGCTCTGTGCACCCTGGCTGATTAAGGCAAATGATGTTTTAAATTAGGACCTGGAAATAAGTGTTGCCTTCAAGAAATAAAACATCCCAACTCAATGAGCAGAGGTCAGACCTAGGTTCTTAGCTACTAGCCTTCCTCATCACAATAATTCAGTAAAGCATTTCCATTGCCCCGACCCTGGCCTTCCTGGAATGTCTGTGTAGCTCTCCTTTAATGTGGGTATGTGGAGAGGGAAGTAGGGGGGAGGGGGAGGAATGAGGGTTGCTTCCCTTAGAATGACAAGCCAGAGCTGGAAGAGATCAGCTAGTCCAGCGCCTTCATGTTACAAATGAGGAAACTGAGGTCCAAGGGAAGTGACTTACTCGTGGTCACACAGACGGTTTTAAGCAAAGCCAGGATGAGAACCCCAGTTTCTAGATTCCCAGGCCACTGATTTTTCCACCACACCCCCCTTTCTACTAAGCTGCCTCCAGCCTCATCTAAGTCACTGATTCTGAGAACCCCAAAGCTTTGGCTTTGCACCCTAAATAATGAAAGAAGACCAGCCACCCATTGGCAAAGACCTTGTATTACTGCATTACTGTTGGTCGTGGTGTCCTGAGTTTGAATCCTGGGTCTTACTTTGGGAATGGGGTACAGGGGAAAGAGAGCTTGTTTGGGAGTCTGAGGAAATGAGTTTGAGTCTTTTAGCTTTGCTATTTAATTACTTCAATCTCCGGCCTGCCACTTCACTACTCCTCAAATTCAGGGTTTGGATTAGATCAGCTCTAAGTTCTGGATCCTGTGATTCATTCTCTTTTCAAAAAACGTATTGCTATCTTTTGTTTTCACATCACCTTCAACTTGGGACACATCTCTCTTTCCTCCCCTACCCAGGAAGCCATCCCTTGTAACAAAGAATAAAAAAGAGGAGCAGGGAAAGAAACCAGTTCAGCAAAATCAACTGATTAATCAACCGAGTCTGATAGCATGGTCATTATCATTATGCTCTATAATTATAACAAGTAGGCAACTAGGTGGTGCAGTGGATAGAGTGCTGGATTTGGACTCATGAGACCTGACACTAGGTGGGTGACTTACCGATTGTGTTAATCTTCTTCAGCCTCAGTTTCCTCATCTGTAAAATAGGGATAATAATAGTATTCACCTCACAGAGCTGTTGTAAGAAGCAAATGAAATGACACAGACTTTAAATAAAGCACTATATGCATGCTAGTTGTTATTTTTCAGTGTTTAGTTTGTGGTTTTTTGTCCTTTCCATTCACACTGTTATAGTTGTTAAGTTGTTTTCCTGAGTCTGGTCCCTTTACTTGAAATCATTCCATTTCTTCCCATGCTAGAATTCTTCATATTCATTTTTTCCTATGGTTTAATAATATTCAGCATTCAATTACATTCATGTACCAGAATTTGTTGTGTCATTCTCCAAACAATGGGCATTGACTTTGTTTCCAATTCTTTGCTACTTTGCAAAGATGTGCTGCTATTTTGGTATATATATATATTATATATAATACACACACACACACATATATATATATGAGACCTTTCTTTCTGTCTTTGACTTTTTACTTGGGAAATAGATCTAGAATTAAAATGGTCAAAGGATATAGACTTTTTAGTCACCTTTAAAAAAACAACCATAATTCCAAATTTCTTCTCAAAGTGGTTAGAACAGTATACAGTTCAACCAACAATGCATCAGTGTGCTTATCTTTCCATAGTCCCTTGAATATTAACTATTCCCATTTTTGTCATCTTTACCAATTGTTCTGATTTACATCTGCCTTATTATTAGTGACTTGGAATAATCATTAATATGATTTTTAATAGTTTGCAATTCTCCTTTTGAGAGCTGTTCTCCACAGCATGCTCTCTGTTCTCCAGTTATTGTCATGTCCCTCCTATAAGAACCTTGGAATCTGCTCCCTGGTCTGATAGGTGAGCTTTAAATTTATCCAGCCTAAGCCCGGGTCTCTTTGCACCATGCTCCCCACCTACTTCCATTAGGATATAAGCTCCTTGAGGACAGAGACTACCTCAATTTTTGTCTTGTATCGTGACCACTTAACACAGAGTCTGACATATAGTAAGCACCTAAATGCTCTGTCTGTCTATCTCTATCTCCCCATCTCTATTTGCTATAATCACTTATCTATTGGGGGATGGTTTTTCATCTTATATTTATTTGTGTAAGTTCCCTATATATCTTCAGCAGCAGAAATATTTGATGCAAAGATTTTCGTTCTTATCAACTGCTTCCTTTCTTATCCTACTTGCATTGATTTTGTTAGTGCAAAAGCTTTTCAGTTCCTGTGATCTATTCTTGTCCCCTGAACCTGCATGTTAGAATTTAGAGAGGGTCTTTTCCTGTATTTTCCTCTTCCACAAAGCTTTCCTTTGTTCTGGCCATTCATATTGACATCTATTGTAATTATGTTCTATACCGTATAGTTTAAGTTGATCACAGACCTACATAGTATTTCTTTGGTTTCTATGTCATTCCATTGGCTTCAAAATGTTTTCAGATGTTTTGGTCATAGTCTATTATGTTTAGTTCATCTCTAATTATTTCTTGTATTGAATCAATACTTAATTTTTTTTCAGTATGTGTCCCTGCCCCTGGCATGTACAACCCGGTTGGAGAGATAAAATATGTATATATCTATGTGTGTGTATATATGTGTGTGGATGTATTCAATCAATACTTAATTATTTTAGCATGAATCCCTGCCCTTAGCATGTACAATCTGGATGGGGAGATAGGATAGGTGTTTATGTATATGTATATATGTGTGTATATGTGCATGCATACATATGTACACACATACATTACACACACATATATGTATGTACACACCTATAAACATCTATACACACTCACATATAAATGGATACATGTATATATATATTTATACGTGCATATACATGTAGATATATACATTATTCTTATATAAATATAAGAAACAATTAGAGATGATCCAAGCGTTAAACAATATGGTGCATAACATTTTTACAATATGTATTACATATTGTAAATACATATTACAATATGTATATACATATATATAATATATAGTATCTGTGTGTGTATCACACATATACAGCTAAATGAGTTGGTCAGAAGCCCTTTATTAATCACCTCCTTGTTTGCTTACAGGAGAGGCAAAATATTGTGCCTTGTTTACTGAGAAGTAATAGCTGTTCTGAAGGAATACAATCTTCATCGCCATTTTGAATCAAAACATCCTGACTTAAGCAAATTGGATACCAATGAAAAACAAATCAAAGTATCCAAATTGTTGAAAAATCTCAATAGGGAACAATGGTTTTCAAGAAAGTAAACTCAGAAAATGAGGTTAGTTAAGGTTAGTTTTCAGATTTCTAAAGAAATTGCTGCTGCTAGGAAGTCTTTTACCGAAGGTGACTTCATAAAGAAGTGTTTGCTAATTGCAGTTTCTGGATTATGTCCCAATAAAAAAAAAGTATTTTTAAGAAATAGTTTAATCATTAATTATACCTTTACTTAGAAAGTAAGCCACTAAAAACCTACCTTTGGCCCAAAGAAGTTTAGCCTGTTTTAATTTCGGCCCCTACCTACTGCCAAGTTGTGCAGGTCTGCTATACAAATTTTAAAAAAAACAGAGATAATTTTCCCTCTCCCTCAATCCCACTTTACCCATGCAACCAGCAGACTATGACCAAAACATTTGAAAACATTTTGAAACTAATGGAATGATATAGAAACTAAAGAAATACCATAGGACTGTAATCAAGTGGTAGGGGCAACAAGGTGGCACAGTGGACAGAGTGTCAGGCCTGGATTGAAGATGCCTCATCTTCCTGAGTTCAAATCCAGCCTCAGACACCATGCTAGCTGTATGACTCTAGGTAACCTTGGCCTTTTAACTTATTAACCTATTAACACTGTTTGCCTCAGTTTCCTCATTTGTCAAATGAGCTGGAGAAGGATATGGCAAACCACTCCAGTATCTCAGCCAAGAAAACCTCAAATGGAGTCACAAAAAGTTGGACACAACTGAAAATGATCAAGCAATAAATTTTGAATGATACACTTCAGGTCATCAGATTTAGGGCAGTTAATTCAACCGTTTCGTTTTATAAGGAAGGAGGAATGACCTCTTGGAAGTCACACGAGTAGTAAGTAGGAGAGCACGGCCTAGATCAAATGTAATGCCCTTCCCATTATAAAAGAGAACACAATTAATTAACATTTTGTTAAAAAAGGAGAGAGATCTGGTTTGAAATGGATGCTGATGGCAATGATAAATATGGAAGCCATCAGTGGGAGTGGAGGGGCAGCCTGGAAACTGTAGAGGGCTAAGAGCCAGGAAAGAAGCCCACCTCTGACACATCCTAGCTCTCTGTGACATTGGACAAATCACAACCTCTTGGTGCCCTGGGCAACTCTCTAAGCCTATTAGTTGCAGAATAGTCCCAAAACTTCATTGGTGAAGAGAACTTCCCCCCGGGAATTCCCTACATCAATGAAATTGCAGGTCCAACTTGCAAATGGTAGTAAGGCTGGGAATGGGAATCATGATAAAATCTTCCCTCTTCACATTGGTTCTTATCTATTCAGTTGTGTCTGACTCTTCCTGAATCTGTTTGGGGTTTTTTGGCAAAGGTAATGGAGTGGTTTACTGTTTCCTTCTCTAGCTCATTTTTACAGATAAGGACACTAAGGCAAACAAGGTTAAGTGACTTTCCCAGGGCGACACAGCTAGGAAGTGTCTGAGGCTGGATTTGAACGTGGGTCTTCCTGATCCAGGTCCTTTACCCTATTCACTACGCCTTTTTAGCTGCCCTGGTTCTTATCTAGGACCCAGTAAAAACAAATGTAATTAATATTCCCTTGTAGGTAGGTCTGCTGATGCAGACGCTTTTTTCTTTCCTGGAGGTCTTTGTTTGTACTTGGAAACAAATATTCTCCAGAGGAGGTGAGGATGAGCATGATTTAGCTCTTGAGGAGGAGAAAAGCCAAAGAGTCGATAATAATAATGTCCTATCTGAACTGAATACACACACATACACACATATATTTTTTTTTTTTTTTTTAATGCAATTGGGGTTAAGGGACTTGCCCAGGATCACACAGCTAGTAAGTGTCAAGTGTTTGGTCTGAGACCGGATTTGAACTCAGTTCCTCCTGACTTCAGGGCCAGTGCTCTATCCACTGTGCCACCTAGCTGCCCCCACATATGTAAATTCTGCTCTAAGACCCCCTAAAGTTTGATGCCACTGAATGAATAATCTATTATCACTACCACCCTAGATGTCCATAGAAATTCCCTTGAAAGTCCTTCCTTCCAGAGCTCTTGCAAATGGTATATGCTCACAGAATTAGGAAATGCTTCTTTCTTGACCCATTGGGAGTTGTATGAACATGGTAACTGATGGGCTTTGACCACTGGCAGAGCCAGAGGCAATCTGCCCTCATCTTCCCACTTGCCATCCAGTGCCAATTTCTCCCCATCCCACCGTCTCTCAGAAAAGTAACTCCTGTAGAGCCCGGGGGTCCAGAAACGGCACATAAGACATTTCCTTCTCATCCCCAAATGCAGGTTTGCTTCCTCAGCTTGGAAGAAGGCATCAGATTCTTTATATTGAATTTGACAGGTAAAGGGAATCATTCATTAATTAGCATTCATTAGCAATAGGGAGTAGGATAAAAGCTAGACCTGGAGTTCCAATCTAGCCTCAGACATTTGCTAGCTATGTAACCCTAGACAAGTGAACATTTTTTTTTTGCGAGGCAATTGAGGTTAAGTGACTTGCCCAGGGTCACACAGCTAGTAAGTGTCAAGTGTCAAGTCTGAGACTGGATTTGAACTCAGGACCTCCTCACTCCAGGGCCAGTGCTATATCCACTACGTCACCTAGCTGCCCCGTGAACTAAGTTTTGTCTGCCTCAGTTTCCTTAATTGTGAAACGGGGATAATAATAGTACCTTCCCTCCCAGGATTGTTGTGAGAGTAAAATAAGATAATATTTGTAAAGCATTTTGTATACCCTAAAGTTCCATATGAATGCTAGCTACTATAGCAACTAAGTTGAGAGATTCACAGCTGTGCAATTATCCAAATAATTGCACGTGTATGTTTTAATTTAGGAAAAAGTGGAGGGTGGGGAGGCTTAGTCCTATATTTTTCAACTATCCACTGCACCTGCACCAGTAGCTGCCTCTACCTGGAATATAGCAGACACTTGATAAACAAACACTTGTTGAAAGAATAAACTTTAGTCCCTGGACATTGACTGAACCTGGGCTTTCCTGCCTTGTTGAGGAAGAGAGGGCTGGGGGCTGCATTTTTTTTTAACTCAATTTCAAGGCACTTGGATTAACACCAAAATAATTCTCTGACTAGAGTCAAGCTCTCAGAAATGAATTTTGGTGGGGCCAAAGAATAACACTCATTCACTAGGCTAACGACTAATTTAGCTTTGCCCTGTACAGTCTGATACCTAGCAGCCTCTGGTGCCTTTGTGGGCTCTTGGCCCAGCTGCCATTAATATACTCTGGCATCTCTCTGTCTCTTTCTGTCTCTTTCTGTCTCTCTCTGTCTCTGTCTCTCTCTCTCTCTCTCTCTCTCTCTCTCTCTCTCTCTCTCTCTCTCTCTCTCTCTTCTCTCTCTCTCTGTCTCACTGTCTCTCCCCCCCACCCCATCTCTCTCTAGCTCTCTGTGTCCCCCTCCTTCTCTCTGTTTCTATCTCTCTGTCTTCTCTCTCTGTTCTCTCTCTCTCTGTCTCTCTCTCTCTCCCCCTCTCTCTCCCCCTCTCCCTTCTCTGTCTCTCTCTTCCTCCCCTCTCTCTGTCTGTACGTTTCTACGTCTCTGTCTCTCTGTCCTCTCTGTCTCTGTCTCTCTCTGTCTTCTCTCTGTTCTCTCTCTCTCTCTCTCTCTCTCTCTCTCTATATATATATATATATATATATATAGATAGATATATAGATATATATCTATATATCTATCTATCTATCTCTGTCTCTCTCTCCCTCCCCTCTCCCTGTCTCTACATCTCTGTCTCTCTGTCCTCTCTGTCTCTGTCTCTCCCTCTCCCTCTCTCGGTCTCTCTCTATCTCTCTGTCCCCTGTCTCCATCTCTGTCTCACTTTGTCTCTCATCTCCCCTCCCCTCCTCCCACGCTTAAGGAGAAGAGACTATATGCCTCTGAAATTAGAGCTGGAAGTGAAATGCTTAGCTGAGCTTTTCGTTTTTTAAGGCCTTTCTTCTCTCCTGGGTTTTAACTGCTTTCTCTGGCCTCAGGGAATCCCTTGCAAGTTAATAAAACTCACTACATCAAAGCCCTACACAGCCATTACCCAATTAAAACCTCACCACGCTCCAGCAGCAGGTACGAATTATTAACCCCATTTTACAGATGGGGAAACTGAGGTTAAGTGGCATGCCCCAGGCTACTGAGGAAATGAGTGTTACAGCTGGCATTCAAATGAAGGGTGTATTAAGCTGGAGCCAACAGGCCAGGCAGGTTCCAGGGACAGTTTTTTTTGTTTGTTTGTTTATAATCCAACTTTAAAAACACCTTCCTTCTCAAAACTTTTCCTTCCAGAGGAAATCCGTTCTTTACCTAGTTCACCTCTGGCCTGGATTATTTCAATAGCCTTCTAATTTGTCCCTCTTACTCCCCACGCCAGTGCATTCACCATTTATCTGCCAAAGTGATTTTTCTATAGCACATTCTGACCATGTTGGCTCTCTGCTGCCTTCCGAATCAGTCAGACAGAAAAATGAGCATTTATTAAGCACTTACTAAGTGTCAGACATTACTAAGCAGTGGAGCTACAAAGAAAGACAAAAACAGTCTTTGCCTTCTAGGAACTCCCATTCTATATATATATATATATTTTTTTTGAGGCAATGAGGGTCAAGTGACTTGCCCAGGGTCACACAGCTAGGGAACGCCCATTCTAAACAAAGCTCTTTATAACCTGGCCCCTTCCTCCTTTTCTGGTCTCCTTATACTTTACTCACTCTATGATCCACTTATACTGACCTACTAGCAATTCCTTCCAAGTCACCCAGTGCACCCCATTTGTCTTGACCTATGTCTTGGCCCTGGACTTTGATGACTGTGGAGGAGAGAGTGAGGCTGATGACTCTGTACAGCTCTGCCTCACTTAAGACCCAATTCACAAAGATGATGTCGGTCCTCTTTGAGAAGGAAGGATGAAGTCCTCTCCTGTCTCCTTGCCTTTGCATTAGCTGTCCTGGAAAGCTCTCTTGCCTAGAATCCCTGGCTTCAAAACACAGCTCAAAGTCCACCTTCTGCAGAAGGCTTTCCTAGTCCCTCTAGCTCCTTGTGCCTTCTCTTCTGACATTACCTTCAATTTACTCTGAATATATCTTGTATGTGCCTTAATTATTTGCCTGTTGTATACTCCTTGAGGTCAGGGACCATGGATTTGCCTTTCTTTGTAGCCACTGTGCTTAGCATAGTGCCTGAAACATTCTTGTTTTTGTTATTGAGTCTTTTGTCTACGTCCGACTCTTCATGACCCCATGGACCACAGTACACCAGGCCCTTCTATCCCGCACTATCTCTCTTAGTCTGTCCAAGTTCATGTTTATTGTTTCCATGACACTATCTATCCATCTCATCTTCCCCTCTCCTCTTTTCCTTTGGCCTTCAATCTTTCCCAACATCATGGTCTTTTCCAATGAGTGCCATCTTCTCATTATGTGGTCAACGTATTTAAGCTTCAGCTCCAGAAACATGGCAGGTGTTTAATGATCGCTTTTTGACTGTTGACTATTAGTTTCTTCCATATAGATTGTGAATTGCTATAAATTTGGCTCTTCCAATGTGGCTGCTCAGCCTGTCCTCCAAGAGGGCCTTCATAAAAATAACAGTTGAAAGAGTTCAAAAATTAGTGTTATTTAAAGACAGATTCATCCCCCACAGCTGTGTCCTAGGAGCTCTTAAGGCACCAGCTGGCTCAATCCATCCATTTTCTTTCTTCTCTAATCCTCATAAATTTTATGTGTGAGAGTGTTCCTGGGGCTCTCTCAGCAGGAAGAAACACCTAAGACCCTGCCCTTTACCCAGTCATCTCTTGCCCTTTGCCAAGCAGCTTTCAATTCCTAATCCTGGGGATTCTTAGTGTGGCTATGAAATTCATGTTTCAACAGAGGATGCATTGAGAGTTCCAGTCTACCACCCCAGAGGTCGTATTCTCCCCTTTTGGGCATGCCCAGAAGGGTGAGGATGGTGCCTTGAATTTTTTTTTGAGGAGGGGGAGGTAAGAAATCAGTAGATTGTCTAGGAAACTGGAGTGGGGAGGGCGCAGCTTTGGGAAGCAACTTGCTCAGACACGTCTGGGGAGAAGAAAGGGGGGGAACCCCATTCTGGTTTGACAATCTGGAAATAGGACACAGGGAAGATTTCAAAGACACAGGTGAGAGTTTTCAAAGGGGAGATTTCAATTCCTGTCCCAGTTGCTTTCGTCCCCCACTCCTGTTTCCTGTTCCAGCAAGGCGCCTCCAATTATAACCCACAGAGCAGTGTGCTGTGTTTACATAAATAATTACCAGATTTGCTATAAGCAGACATGTTGTGGCACATAAGAGGCAAGCCCATAAATTGCATTTTAGGAATTAGGGGTCAGATTGATCTTATCTTTGTAAATCAGTCCAAATTCCAGTGAACTGAGCTGAATGCGCCTTTGGAGGAGAGGGGCCTTGGGGAGGAGGGGCAGTGGCTTAGAACCAAGGCTTCCTTTCTCAACTTCACTACTTTGCAAATCACTAGTTGTCTTTGGGACCAAGGGGGTGAAAATAAGGGGTAAAGGGCCCTAAATGGCTCTTTGGCTATAGAAGCTCAGCTCCTGAGGAGGCTGGACGGAAAGCAGTTTCAAGTATCCCGTGTTCCACCTCAGTGGGGGTACATGGAGATCTTTCTGCAGGTCTGGACACAGCAGAGGGTAGTCAGAGTGGAAAACAGCAGGGCCTCTCATGATAACATCTTTGCTTAAGGCCAGGCCTCTGCTGGAGGGAGTGGCAAGGGACCCAGAGAGGTCATTTAACCCCAGCCCTCAACTCTTTTTAAAAAGACGATGCTCAGAGAAGTGGAGCAACTTGTCCAAGTTCACACAAGTAAGTCAAGCTCATCTCTGACAGTCTAGATGTTATACTCTGCCTACTGGACCACATGGCCTATACTATGATTCATTCAACAAATAAGTGATCGGTGCGTGTTGAGAAATTTGTAATAGGTGCCCAGGTATATACATAAAGTAGCCTATCCTGGCTTTCAGCCTACTTCAAACCTAGGTGAACTCAAGCAATTACCCCCAAAAGCTAAATAACAGTATGGGGGGGGAGCTAGGTGGCACAGTGGATAGAGCACTGGCCCTGGAGTCAGGAGGACCCAAGATCAAATGCGGCCTCAGACACTTGATACTTCCTAGCCTTGAGACTCTGGGCAAGTCACCTAACCCCAATTGCCTCACAAACAAAAACAAAAAAATAACAGTACATGAGTCAAGGTGAAAACCAATCACGTCCGGTCCTGACATTTACTACATGTATGACCTTAGATAAGTCATCACTTCCTTTCCTCCAAGTCTCAGTTTTCTCATCTGTAAAAGGAGATAAAATGTTTGCACTAGTATCTTGGGAGATTGTTCTAAGAATCAAATGAGACAATGTTTGTAAAGGTTTTATTTATTTATTTTACAAGGCAATGGGGTGAAGTGACTTGCCCAGGGTCACACAGCTAGTAAGTGTCAAGTGTCTGAGGCCAGATTTGAACTCATACCTTCCTGAATCCAGGGACGATGTTCTATCCACTGTGCCCTCTAGCTATCCCTGTAAAGGGTTTTTAAAGGATGATATAAGTGTCAGCTATAAATAAATCTATTCCGTCATCAATACGATGGGAGTTCAGAGGGTGAGGTCAAGCTGGGCTGGAATGGAGCAGGAATGGTCACTTCTAGCTCTAAATTGTCTGATCCAGTGGGCTGTGGAGACCTGAGGGAAGATGAAGATATGGTAGTTAATCCAAGGATGTTCCAAGGTTTCGAATAGAGAGAAAGAAGGGAAGACTTTTGAGGATGTTGAAGGATTCTGAGAGGATGGGATAAATCAGACACCCAGATCCTTTGCGTCCTTCCAGGCCCACTTTTTCCCTGAAATAAAGATTCCTCCAGACCTGCAATGATTTCACTTGCCAATGATCTCTTGTTGTACGTGTTCATGTATATACACTAATCTGGCAATGTTAGAAAGAGGAGGCAATATCTTTGTGTAATAATAATATAATAATAAATAAAATGCTATATATAAAATAAAATTTATTTTATATATAAAATAAATTTAAATAAAAATTATATCCATAATAAAATAATAATAAGTAAAGTATAATAATAGGTAACTGCTTTAAGGTTTGCAAAGTATTATCTCCTTATCCTCCATATTATATATGTCTTCCATATTATATATAAAATAAATTTAAATAAATAAACTTTATTATATATAAAATAAAATTATAATAAATAAAACATAGTAATAGCTAACACTTAGTACTTTAAGGCTTGCAAAGCGTTATCTCTTTATCCTCCATCACTCATTCTATGTTCTCACCAGACTAACCTGGGACCATGTTTTATCTCCACAGTGGAATGCAAGCTGTCTGAGGGCATGGGGCTCTTCATTTTTGTCTTTGGATGCCCAGTACCTGGAACTCAGTAATAAATGCTTTTGAACTGAATTGGATTAAATCTAGTCCTGCCTTTGTAAAGAGGTAAATCTAGGCTTGATATAAGGAAAAATTTTCTCACAATTAGAGCTGGCAAGGTAGGAGAAAATCAGATCAGGCCTGCCATTGACCTGTATGACCTTGGCTAAGTCACTTCCCTTTCTCTAAGTCCGTTTCCTCATTTGTAAAGAGAAATAAAATGTTTGTACTAGTATTTTACAAGATTGCTCTAAGGAAGAAATTAAAGGGCAACATAAGTATCAGCTGTTATCATCATTAATAATGAATGGTACCCAAAATCAATTCCATTCAAAATGGATTGGGCTGCCTCTGAAGGGAATAGGTTCCTTCACATTTTGTTCTTGTTCAGTGGGTTTTTAGTTGTGTTCGACCCTTCATGACCCTATTTGGGGTTTTCGTGGCAAAGATACTGGAATGGTTTGCATTTCCTTCTCCAGCTCATTTGACAGATGAGGAAACTGAGGCAAGCAGGATTAAATGACTTGCCCAGGGTCACACAGCTAGGAATTGTCTGAGGCTGGATTTGAACTCAGGAAGCTAAGTCTTCCTGACTCCAGGCCTACAGCCTCTATGCACTATGGCGCCACCTAGAGGCCTTCACATTGGAGGTCTTTAAGTAGATGCTGGGTAACCTCACGTTTTCCGTGTGATACTGAAAGAGGTGGTTGCTTTGGGGTATAGATTGGAGCATCTGACTACCAACGCCCCTAGGTGGCGTAGTAGGTAGAGCCCTGAATGTAGAGTCAGAACAGACCTGCATGCATTCAGATCCTGTCTCTGACACTTAATATCTGTGTGACCATGGGAAAACTTTGATAAGCCTCCTTGTGTCTCATTTCCCTTATCTGTAAAAAGAGAGGGTTGTACTGGATGGCCCGGAAGGTCTCTTCTAATTCCAAATCTATGGTTCTATGAAGTTCTAGACCTATCACTGACTTAACCTCCATGGACTGTTTTACTCATCCATAAGACAGGAATAATAATAGTAATAGCTAGTATTTATATAGCTCTTTAAGGTTTACAAAACCATTTATAAATATCTCATTTCAGCTTTGCAGTAACCCTGGAAGGCAAATGCTATTATTATCCCCATTTTACAGATGGAGAAGCTAAGGCAGACATAGGTTAAATGATCTATAGGTTAAATAAATATAGGTTAAATAATAAACATATATATTTATATAGAGAGGTTAAATAAATAACATAGGTTAAATCCAGGATCACACACACACACACAAATCTAAAGCCAGATTTGAACTCAGGTCATCCTGACTTCAGGAAGACTTCAGGTGACACTGTCACCACCTAGTTGCCTACCTTGTAGGAAGGTTATAAGGATCAAGAAAAATAACATAGGGTAAAACATTGTGGAGCATTATAACCACACCCCACACAGCTTATAGAATACCTGAAAATCAGACAGCAAATGATAAAAGCCAAGAGAAGGAATGTCAGTCTTATACTTGGCGTGTTCTATATTTGAAATTGGTTGTTAAAAATTAACAAAGACATTCATGATTAAAGCCAGATAGATGTGACATATGCTTTGCTTCACAATATCGTTTGGCCCTCCTTCATGTTGCCTGTTCACACAACTTCTCAGACGAAATCTGGTCCTTACCTATTTGTAACTGTCACTGCTGTCGGATAGAAGTGACCTGGGCTCTCTAAGACTGTGTCAGAACTGAGGCTCTGAGCACAAGTTCTACCAAGGTGAAGCGACTTCAAGAACAGGCCTAAGGAAGGACAATCCATCTGTCACCGGAGACGCAGCTTAGCTAAGCCTATGCCGGGACAGCTGAAACTCACAAAGTGAGCTTGAAGGGTGCATCATGAAAACAATCCCCATACAGACAAAATCACAGATGCCTGAAGTATCACTTATGTGGCAGTAATTTAATTACTTTTTGAAAATCTTGGATCCTGAGCCCAATGTCCCCCAAACCAGTAGACCTGTTTCCCACCCAACCCCCACAGACACCATTGAGGGCAGAAATCACCACCTTGTCACCACCAGCAACCACGCACAATCACACACAAGAGGGCAGATAAGCCAGCCTAGATGAAATAGCAAGTCACCCCAAAAGAGAGATGGGAGGCAGCATTAACCAAGCAAGTCAAATCACCACCATCACTTTGGCCACCATCTTCCTTCAGACCGTGAAGGAAATAACCCAAGACCTTGAACCCAAGAGCTTGGGAATAACAGTGCTTCCAGCCCAGAGCCCTCAGGCATCATCCTGAGAAGGAATTTCTGTGAAGATGCAGCCTGGCAGCTACTCCTGCAGGTGCACGGCTACTGAAGACCCAGAAAAAAAAAAGTTGCTTTTTTTTCCATCAAATACCTTGGTATTGTCAAATGTTTCGACATCAGAAACAGTCAGTGGAAATGACTGGGCCATTAACATTGGTTTTGCTAATGCACCCTTAGGATCACAGGACCTTTCCATCTGACTTGTAGCTGGAACCTCCATAAGTCTTGTCTCCCCATTAGAATATGAGCTCCTTGAGATCAGGGACTATCTTATTTATCTATTTGAATCCCTGGTGCTTAGTACAATGCTTTGTGCATAATAAATGCCTAATTAATGTTTTATTCATTTGACTAAAAAAATAGCAAAACTGATTTTGTGACCGAAATCCAGAATTATTGCTCTCTTAAAAGCAATACCAATTATGATAATTTAATTCAAGAAAGGCAGACTGGTGTAGTGGAAAGAACCCTGTAGTAGAGTATGTGGAAAGATTGGGCCATTAACACACAGTTGGTGCAGTTGTGAACTGGTCCAACCATTCTAAAGGACAATTTGGAACTATGATCAAAGGGCTATAAAACTATGCATACCCTTTAACCCAGGAATACCCCTACTATGTCTGCATCCCAAAAAGATCAAAGGAAAAGGACTTATATGTACAAATATATTTATAGCAGCTCTTTTTGTGGCAAAGAATTGGAAATCTAGGGAATGGTCATCAATTGTGGAATGGCTGAACAAGATGTGGATGATTGTGATGGAGTATGCTATAAGAAATGACGAGGGGCAGCTAGGTGGTGCAGTGGATAGAGCTCTGGCCTTGGAGTCAGGAGGACCTCAGTTCAAATCCAGCCTCAGACACTTGACACTTACTAGGTGTGGGACCCTGGGCAAGTCACTTAACCCCAGTTGCCTCACCAAAAAGCTAAATAAATAAAGAAATAAATAAATTATGATGAGTGGGTGGTTTCAGAAAAAAACTGGAATACTCATACGAACTGATGCAAAGCAAAGAGAGTAGGACAAGGAGAACACTGCATACAGTAACAGCAATATTATAATGAAAATCAACTGTGAAAGACTTAGCTACTCTGATCAATACAACAATCCACAACAATTCCAAGGGATTCCTGACAAAAATGTTATTCACCTCCAGAGAGAGAACTAATGAACTCTGAATACAGATCAAAGCTCTTTTTTCAATTTATTTTTCTTGCCTTTTTTTTTTCTTGCAACATGGCTAATATGGAAATGTTTCATAGGCTAGCACATATTGTATTTTCTTGCCTTCTTAAAGAATCAAGGAGAGAGTGGAGGGAGGCAGAGAACTTGGAATTGAAAATAAAAATTTTAAATGATAATAATAATAATAATCAAAAGCAGATTAAAGTAGCAATTTTTGTTGCATAAATTTTAAAAGCTTTAGCACAAAAAAAGAGCCTTCTAGTGAGAGGCAGAAGACCTGAGTTTGATTTCCAGCTCTACTTTTCTCCTTGTGTGACCCTGGGCAAATCACTTCCTCTGTCCTGTTCTCAGTTTTCTCATCTGTAAAATGAAGTTAAACTATTTGACCTCCAAATTCCCTCCTCATTCTAAACCTAGGATCCTAGGATCCAATATGAAGCATTTATTGAACACTCACGATACCACTGTGGCAGTAGGAGAAAGATTTTAAGAAGTAGAAGCCCCCTCTGCTTTCCTGGTGCTTTAATGTAAATAAGAGATAGAAGCCCTCATGTTTGTATTGTATACTTTACAATTTTCTGATTAGGTCATAGATGAATTTTCATTCATTATCATTTTTCATCCTCACAATAACCTTGTGGGATTAAACAAGCATTATGATTAATTTTACAAATGAAGAAACTGAGGCTCCTACATAACACTGCCTAAGAAGGACTTGGGACAAGGACCCAGGTCTCTTGATTTCAAGTTCCAGACACTTTCCACTGTACTACAATGTCCCTCATTAATATAGATGAGTGAAAAAACCTAAACAAAATGCTGTAATAACATAGTGTAATTGATATCATAAGGGCAAAGGAAGACAAAGGAAAGGAATTCTGAAATATATTGTCATTTTGTAATCTTAATTTTTCAGTTTTCAGTGAAATTATAGTGATCAAGCTTGGCTCCAAAGAAGAGATATGAAAATAGACTTCCCTCCCTTCTTGGTTGGGGGTGGGGTAGTAGAGTGGAGGATTATGGGTGCAGAGCCCCGCATATAATAATGTTGGACTTGGTTGGTTTGTTGGCTAGTTTTGCTGAGGTTTGTTTTTTGTTTTTCTCTTTTAAAAAAATTATTTGTTTTAAGAGGGAGGGAGAAAGGAAGAAATGTTATTGGGAAAATGTTGGTGATGGAAAAATAGAAAAGTTATCAATCTGATTTTTAAAAAAAATCCATTTCAGCTTTTAAAAGTGGTTGGTTGACCTTTCAAAAGTCAAACTTCCCATTTGACAAGAATAGCAGTAGGAGCTGACTTTATGTAGTGCTTTAGGGTTTGCAAAGTACTCTACATACCAAGAGGTCTTTGATGTCTCAGTCACATGGTCCAAACATGCTTTGGCTTGGCCATGCTTTTCAGATGAGGCTTTCTGCTCAAGCCCCTACAGACTTAGAACCATGCATTTCCTCATGGTTTATCAAAATATATTGCTCTTTATTAAAACAGCTGTATTTAACATGAATCAACTAACAGCTTCGAAGATGATATTTTAGATCAACTTTTAAAGAACCAAATGCCAAGAGAGCAATCGGTACCTTTGTCACTAAATCCTTAACTTCCTTTGTTAGCCTACTTTGAATTCTTAGGTTGGAGTCTAGGGTTTTCATCCTCAACCTTCAGCTTGGCTTAACTTCAAAGTAGCTCTGGGGTACTTATCTCTCAGTGTCTGGATGGATGGAGAGAGAGACAGAGAGAGAGAGACAGAGAGAGACAGACAGAGACAGACAGAGACACACACAGAGAGACAGAGACAGAAACAGACAGAGACAGAGACACACACAGAGGTAGGGAGGGGGAGAGGGAGAAAGAGAAATGGAGAGAAGGAGAGAGAAGGAGAGAAAGACAGTGAGAGACAGAGAGACAGACAGAGACAGAGACACACACACAGAGACAGAGACAGAAACAGACAGACAGAGACACACACATAGGTAGGAAGGGGAGAGAGAGAAAGAGAAATGGAGAGGAGAGAGAAAGAAAGGGAGAGAGAGACAGAGAGAGAAAGGAGAGAGTGGGAAGGAGAGAGAGACAGAGAGACACACACAAAGAGAAAGGGGGGGGGAGACAGAGAGAGGAGAGAGAGAGAGAGCCATATAGTGGTGTGATGCCAGAAACCTTAAAAACTCTCCTTTGGCTATTCTTCCTTCCATCCAAAATCAATAGGTACATTGATACATTGAATGAATAGGTAAGGTAGTCTATTCTAGATGTAGGTTAATGGGCATAAAATTGCCAAGTTGTACATTAGTGCTTGGTAGCTGATCCCATTTAGGAACTCTCTAGCATCAGATATTGGCTTTGGTTCCAAGCTATCTAATTAAATGGTCATATTCCTCACCAAAGCATTTTTCCTCCTACAGATATAACTTTTTTTTAAAAAAAGTCATTTTCAGTTCCAAATTTTCTCCCTCCTTTCACCTCTCCCCCAGCATTGAGAAGGCAAAAAATATGATACCCACTATACATGTGAAGTCGTGCAAAACATATTTCCACATTAACCATTTTGTGGTGGTAGTGGTGATGGGGATCAAGAAAAATAAAGAAAGTGAAAAAAATATGCTTCAATCTGCACTCAGAGTTCATCAGTTTTCTCTGTGGAAGTGGATAGCATTTTTCATCATGGGTCCTTTGGAATTGCTATGGACCATTGTGTTGATCAGAACAGCTAAGGCTTTCACAGTTGATTATCATCACAATATTGCTTCAACAGAGCATTTTGGATGAAGGTGAAATATACGGTATCTGAAGAGAGGGTTAAAGAGATTTTCATTATAGGAATAATGAGCACAGAGGGTACCACTGATATTGAAGATGGGGCTTAATTTTAGTCTTTGACCCCCTCAACCTATATTTCCAGCCTTTTCTCCAGGGGTGTGCTAAAACAGTTGACTCTCCAGGGAAAAAAATGTACCCACAATTTCTGAGGCGTGCATGCTCACCGAAAATTTAACCATCAGCTCTCAATGCTGGTCTGAGCTGCCTCCAGCATACCCCTGCTTCTCTCGCAATATTCTTTCTTCGCGCTCACTAAGATGCAGTCAACCTGAGTCATTCTGCTGTTCTCCAAACATTCTGTGCGCTCTTTCAATAATATGATTTTGCTTAGACTCTTCTTTTCACTTGCAATGACCTTCTTACTTCCCTTTGCCTGCTGAAATCCTACCTGCTCAAGGCAGGCCAATCTCCTTCATGGAAACTTCCTTTCCCCCCCCTTGCTACTGATGCCAATTGGGCAGGATGGGTGAGGCAGGAATCATCCCTGATCAGGTGCTGTCCAGCACCCTGGAAGTTTTTGACTGGTTGCTTAGCTTTGATGCTGACGCCACCTCTGGGTGCCCTTTCCTAACAGAGCAAGATTTGCAAAATGTATTACATATTTTAATCTCCTCTGATCTTCACTTGTGAACTTTTTGAAGTCAGTGTTACTATTATCCCCATTTTACAGGCAAGCAAACTGAAGCTGACAGAGGTTGAATGACTTGTCCAGGGTCATATAGCGAGTGTCTGACACAGAATTCACACTCTGATCTTGCTCACTCCAAGGTCAGACACTCTATCTTCAAAGTCACCTTGCTATCTTGGTGCTTGTTTCTCCCTTCTTAAATTTTTTTTTTTTACCTTCTGTGTCCCCACATTCCAGACCACAAGGTAGTCTTCCAGGTTTATTACCAAGGGGAAGGAATATAAGCAAATTCAGAAAAGAATTACCAGGTTGAAGTACTGTGAAATGCCTACATTGTAAAAGAATTCCTCCTAGGTAGTAACAAATTTTCTAAGCTATCTTAGATTCCAGGCAAATTGCTTAACACATCTTGTCCTCAGTTTCCTTGAATGTAAAAAAGGTATGGCGATACTTATACTATCAACCTCCTAGAGTTGACAAGGCTTAAATGAGAACATTCATGAAAGCACTTGGTAAACCTTATAGCACTCTCTAAATGATGAGGAGATGATGATATTGATGGCAGCACTGTGGCCTTGTACATAGAAAGGCAGCCTTAGGATCAGGAAAACTTGAGTTCAAATGCTGCCTCTGACATCAATGGATTGCACGACAGGGACAAGGTCACTTAACCTCTCAGCACTCCCAGTCAAGTCCCTGAGATTATCAATTGCAGAACTTGTCTGCACTGATAGAGGCGATGTCTTCACCTAGAATTCCCTACATCAAAGAAATTGCAGGTTTCTGTCCAACACTTCCCACCCTGAGGCAGCTCCCCTCCCCACTCACACCCCACCCTCACCCTCTAATAAATCCAATAGCCAAATTCTCTCATATTTTGCCTGGTCTATGATCCTCTAGGTTGGGAGTCACACAGCTACTTTTCACATGGTCTTAGACAAAAAGAATGACTTTCTTTCAGAATATTTCTAAGCCAGATTCAGGACTCACCTATCCAGGCTTTCTGGACAGAGTTCTTTGGTCCATTCTGCCTTTCCCAGGCAGCCTCCGGATGGAATGGCTAGTTTATACGGTTCCACTCAGAGTATTACCTAATCCCATAACTAACTAGGTATCTAATTGAACTTCACCTGCCTCCCACCTTCCCTCAGACAAACAAGGCAAGACTGTAAGAGAAGTTCCCGTCACCTTGAAATCAGAATAATTCAATAGAACAAAACAGTCACCTCTTGAAGTTCATAAAAGAGGGCTCCATTTCTTGTTCTTTTCATAATAGTGGTTATATTTAATCTTATATTAGAATTATGTGTATGTAATTATGAGCAGGTAGGTGGCATGGTGGAGAGAGTGCCAGGCCCGGAGTCAGGAAAACCTGAGTTCAAATCTGGCCTCAGACACTTCTATAGCTGTATGACCCTAGACAAGTCACTTAACCTTCTTTGCCTCAGTTTCATGAATTGGTGAAGGAAATGGCAAACCACTCCAGTATCTTTGCAAAGAAAACCCCAAATAGGGTCACAAAGAGTCAAGCAGGACTGAAATGGCTGGACAACAATAACATGTGCATTTATGTATATCTATGTATCCATTAGATTTTAAGCAACTTGAAGGCAGGAACTATCTTTTGCCTCTTTTTTGTATCCCCAGCACTTAGCACAGTGCCTGCCACATAGTAGGTGTTTAATAAGTGTTTATGGATTGGTTATGTGGCTCTCATCTCCCCCTTGAGGACGAAGATCCTGGTATTATTATTATTTTTTTATCTACACCTTCCCTTCATTACTTCCAAGTGCTCTGCTTGTATGAGGGACTCAATGAAAATTTCACTGAATGAATGAAATCAGGAAAATCCAGATTTGATGGAAGAATCTGTTGGTCTATTATCATAATTCTGTTCCAGCATTATAGCTGGTTTTCCAACATATTCTTTGTTTCATATAGCGAATTTCCAGTTATCTGTGTGTGGATTATTCATTTGAATAAATCTGCAGCAAGGGCTCAATCCCAGGTTAGTTTCTTATTGGTGCCCAGTAAGTTCCTTCACCACAAGGCAATATGATTAATGATAATGATGATATCTAGCATTTCTATGGTGCTTTAAGGTTTACAAAGTGCTTTACACTGAAAGGTAAGGTGTTATCATCAGCATCCCCATTTTATAGATAAAGTGAGGCGGAGAGGAGTGAAATGACTTATTTAGGGTCACAAATGGTTGAGGCAGAATTTGAACTTGGGTCTTTCATGTCCGGGTCTCACTCTTGACTAGTTGCCCTCCTAAAGATGCTCTGAGGGATGCGTGGTAGAAATGGGAGCTATTATGAGGTAGCTAGGCAGTGCAGTGGACAGAGTACTAGGTGAAGTCGGGAGAACCTGAATTCAAATCCAGCTTCAGATATTTACTAGCTGTGTGACTGTGGGCAAGTTGCTTAACCTCTGCTTGTCTCAGTTTCCTCATCTGTAAAGTAAGGATAGTAATAGGACCTACTTCCCAGGGTTGTTGTGAGGTTCAAATGAGATAATAATTGAATAAGTGCTTGGTACATTGCCCAGCGCATAGTAGACACTTAATAAATGATAGCTCTGATTATGATTATTATTATTACTAGCTGTGGGACCCTGGGTAAGTCATTTAACCTCTCTCTGCCTCTGTTTCCTCAACTGTAAAGTATGGATCATAATAGCATCTCCCTTCCAGGGTTGCTGTGAGGATCAGATGAGATAATAATTATATAAGCAGTTAGCACAGTGCCTGGCATGCAATGAGTGCTTATATAAATGTTAGCTATTATTATTATTGAACTTCTCTCTGCCTCTCAGATTCCTCATCTGTGAAATTATCATGCTTACCTCCCAAGGTCATAGTGAGGATAAGATGAGATAATATTTGTAAAACGCCTTGCAAACCTTAAAAGCGCTAATTAAATGCTAGCTATCATTATTATTATTTTCATTGGCTGAAGGGACTGAGCAGGCCTATGGCCCTGAGGCTGGGCTGGCCTGACAGTGGAGTGTTATCAAGTTAGATCTTAAAACCACCGCAGATCTGATTGCCATCAGATGTCTCATAGTCTCAGTTCCTAGGATGGCTGAGTGTATTCAGGGGTTCCAAGCACCGTGACCAAGGTTAAAACAAAACTAGACGTCATGTGCAATTCTGAGTCCATGTGACCTGGCCACAAATTGGTCAAAGAAATGTAAATTCTGTAGGGGTTGTAAATGATATGCCCAGCACTCTTGTTTCTTGCTTTTCTTTGAGGGTACATGGTGTGGAATGTGAGAAACTCCCATACCATAGAATTCGGAGGTCCCCAAGTTTACACTTCATGTGTCTTCTTGCATTATTGTTCTCTATTAGCCCTGACAGATCTAAGGTTAATGCCCCCGCTGGAGCTGACAGGCACTAAATTGGGGCCACGCATGGGCTTTAGACACAAAACCAATCCTGCTGCCCATAGCGTGGTTACTTCCTCTGACTATAGAACTCAGAAAATTCCTGCCATTCCTGAGCATGTAACAGAGACCCAGACCCAGGGACTGTCTTTTGTTCTTGATGGGAGGGGACTGCAGCCCCCTCTGCAAGTCGAAACCTTCCAGAAGCACTGAAACTTCACCTCAGAGACACTGTTAATGGAACAGAGTGAAAGGGGGCAGGGCCAGAAGGGGACATTGCAAAAATGGGCTCTTCAAGCAGTGCTCTGCCCCCTTCAATGGCGTGCTACAACTTCAGCCGATGTACATAGAGAGAAACTGGTGCAAGATGGGAAGAGGGAAACTCTTAAGGGCTTTTTATTGATTCATTTCAAATAGGTTCACTCTTATTCTGATCAATGAACAAGGGCTCAGACTCAGACTCTGTAACTTACTAACTGTGTGTTTTGGGGCAGATTATGTACCTCCTCTGGGCTTCAGTTTTTTCACCTATATAAGGAGGGACCAGGCAGCGTGTAAGGTCGAATTTCAGCCTTCGGGCTCTAAATCTATTGTTAAATAGATACAGAACCTAATCTGCTATCTAATAGAGATACAATAGATAATATCTATCTAGATACAAAATCTAATCTATTGTTGGATAAATACAGAATCTAATCTTTGTTGTTGAGTTATTTCAGTCCTGTCCAAATCTTTGTGACCCCACTTGGGGTTTTCTTGGCAGAGACACTGGAATGATTTGCCTTTTCCTGCTCCAGCTCATTTTCCAGATGAGGAAATTGAGGCAGACAGGGTTAAGTGACTTGACCAGGGTCATGCAGCTGGTGTCTGAGGTCAGATTTGAACTCAGGTCTTCCAGATTCCTGGCCCAGTGCTCTCTATCCACTGGGCCACTTAGCTGCCCCAGAATCCAAACTATTGTTAGGTAAATATAGACTCTAATCTATCATTAGAAAGATTTAGAGCCTGTTGTGGGTTATAAAAATAGCTTAGGTCAAAAGACCACCTGTTACATTCTCTGAAGACCCTTCAAGGAGCCTATGAACCAGAACCAGGGTAAGAAGGTAATGAAGCTAGTTTATTCCTAAAAAGTTTGGGTCATTTGAATGAATGAATAAAAAAGTATTATATTAAATACTGACTATATGCTAAGCACTGGGGTTACAAATAGAAAACCCATCTAGTTCCTGTTCTCAAGGAGCTCATTTTCTCAGAAGGGGAGACAACATAAATAGGAGGTTTCAGATGTAAGTGATATGAGATTTTTTCATAAATGGCTAAAGTGGCAAAGCAGATGATAATGCATCTTCTGCAATGCTATTTCCACTTTATCTCATAATCATCATGGCACAGGGAAATCCTATTAGAGTTGGAGGACATTTTGGTCCTTCCTGAAGTGAGGAAGATATCTTTTGGACCATATCTGCAGGAAAATCCTGTTGCAAGAAAACCACATATGTGAATTTACATAGTATCTCAGATTTAAAGCTGAAAAAGACTTCATGGCAATCTTTTCATTTTACAAGTGAAGAAGTCCAGAAGTTAAGTGACTTGATCAAAGGCCCACACATTTAGAAAGCAAGTGGAAGAGCTGGGATTTGAATCTAGGCCCTTTAAAGTTCAGACCCAGTGTTGTTTTTATCATCCCTCTCTGGAATTACAAAACAGACAAATTAGGGAAATGATTATTTCAAAAGGGGATGCGCTCAAGATGCAGAATGAGACATATATGTTTTGGACATGGCCGATGAGAGAATTTGTTATGCTATTATATGTGTGTGTGAGAGAGTATGTATTGGTTAAAAGAGGGTTCTTTTTTTTGCTTTTATTTTGTCTTCTTTCAATCAGAGGGGAAGATGGGAGGGAGAGAAAATAATTGGAAAAAAATAAAATTTTAGAAAAGAAATAATTATTTCACAGAATCAAGTTTGAAAGGCCTTCCAATTGGAAGTAGCCTTCCAATCCAACTCATAACAGAAAAAGAATCATTGCTATAGCATACCAAGAAATCATCACCCCATCACCAATAGTTAGTATAGTGTTTAGCATATAGCACTTAATGCTTTTTCACTGAGAGGATGCCCATCAATTGGGGAATGGCTGAACAAGTTGTGGTATATGGATGTAATGGAATACTATTTGTGCTATAAGAAATGATGAACAGGCTGACTTGAGAAAAACCTGGAAAGACTTGTATGATCTGATGCTGAGTGAAGCGAGCAGAACCAGGAGAAGGTTGTACACAGTAACAGCCACGTTGTGTGATGACTAATATTGATAGACTTAGCCCTTCTCAGTAATGCAAGGATCTAAGACATCTCCAGAGGCCTTGTGATGGAAAATGCTATCCACATCCAAAGAAAGAGCTATGGAGTCTGAATGCGGATAGAAGCATACTATTTGCTATTTTTTTTTCTTCTGTAGTATTTTGTTTCCTCTTTCTGGTGGTTCGTCCTACTGGTTCTAATTCTTCCCTACAACATCACTAATGTGAAAATATGTTTAATAGGAATGTATATGTAGAGCCTATATCAGATTGCACATGGTCTTGGGGAGGGAGGTGGGGAGGGAGGAGGAGAAAAATTTTAAACTCAAAAGCTTATGGAAGTGATTGTTGATAATTCAAAATATATTAATTAAAAATTCAAAAAATTCCAAAATAC